CAGAGCCTGACGTGGGGCTCGAACTCATGAACTGTGAGATCATGACCTGAACCAAAACCAAGAGTCAGATGCTTAACCTACTGAGCCACCCAGGCCCCCTTGTTTTCTTCCTTCCTTCCTTCCTTCCTTCCTTCCTTCCTTCCTTCCTTCCTTCCTTTCTTTCTTTTTCTTTCTTTCTCTTTTTAACATTAATTCACTTTTAAGAGAGAGAGAGAGAGCAGAGAGAGAGAGAGAGAGAGAAAGCATGAGCAGGGAAGGGGCAGAGAGAGGGGGAGACACCAAATCCAAAGCAGGCTCCAGGCTCTGAGCTGTCAGCACAGAGCCCGACGTGGGGCTCGAACCCATGAACCATGAGATCATGACCTGAGCCGAAGTCGGCTGCTTAACTGAGCCACCCAGGCGCCCTCAGAAGAGATGTTTTAATAATTTAAGCAAACTCTGGAAGCAATTCTAGAAGAAAATGAGGAATCATGTAAAAGGAAAAGGAGGATGAGCTGTGCCCCTGGAAACGTGTCAGAAGATGTGATACAGAGAGTGTGGCCAGGGCTCAGGAACCAGCAGATCTGGGTGGCTGAGGCTCAGACACACGCACGTGTGGAGATTATAAGGTGGGATGAAGGTGACCTTCCAGCTCAGGCAAAAAGGCAGAGCGAACTGGGGCCAGTATCTGGTCTCACTGCGTCCTTTCCACCAAAATAAACGTCCGAGACAGGGATGAGTCAGAGTACATCAAGTCAGAAAGGGACCAAGTAGAACATACATGGATACTCTCCAGATTCCTTGAGAGAGGGCAAGGGCAGTTATCAAGCTGGCAGCAGTGAACTGAAAAGAAAAGGTCAGGGCACTTGCCTACCTTGAATTGAACTTCTGAGAATCAAAAGTATAGTTAAAACGGCAGACAGAATGGGAAAAGCATTTGCGACGAATAGCAGTCAACTGTGTTTCTTACCACATGAAGAGCTCATCCTGGAAGGAGTTGAGGAATACACCAGAGTTTCCAGTGGGCGGAGGAATCCACAGGCCACCCTGGGGGGTGCTCTCCCAAGCCTTGGGCCCTGGCTTTGCACTTCAGGGTGTAAACAAACCTTATGCCAATAAACCTTCTGGAGGGGGGTCATTTAACGCATTTTCCAGATGAACCAGTTGACTCAGACTCCAGGTAACTGGCCCCGAGGGGCTCAGCTCCCGAGGGGTGGGTGGGCCGTGGCTCTCCCGGAAAGCCCCGGTGCCCTCGGTCTAGCTGACCTGTCTGAAGGTAGTCCAGATGAAGAAAGAGAAAGGCCTAATGAGCTATGAGAAATGGTCAACTTCGGTATTTAAGACCTGCACCAAAAACCACAGGCCAAGGCTACGGTTTACCTCCGGCATTGGCCAGAAAAAAATTCCAGAAAAATCACCAGTGTCAGCGTGCCACAGATGTTATGAAGCGGGCAGTTCTCTGTTTTGGGTGGAAGGGTAAAGCGATACAGACAAGAGTTTGACAAAATGTATCTAGATTCAAAAACAAGAATGCGCATGAAACCTTTGGCCCGGTGGTTCTGTTTTCAGGGATCGGATGCAAATAATCAGAAACGTGGACAGTTTTATGCACAGAGGTGTTTCTTGGATTGTTGTTTGATGCTGAGATTTGCAAGTGGCTGCAGGTGTTCCCTAGAGTAGTTTGGAATCTGAAAACAGTATTTACCAAGGCTTTCAAATACCATCTTGTATGGGTGCCTGGGTGGCTTAGTTAAGTGTCCGACTTTGGCTCAGGTCGTGATCTCACTGTTTGTGGGTTCGAGTGCTGCATCGGGCTCTGTGCTGATGGCTCAGAGCCTGGAGCCTGTTTCAGATTCTGTTTCCCTCTCTCTCTGCCTCTCCCCTGCTCATCCTCTCTCTCTCTCTCTCTCTCTCTCTCTCTCTCTCTCTTTCTCTCTCTCTCTCTCAAAAATAGACATTAAAAAAAATAAAATAGGGGCCCCTGGGTGGCTCAGTTGGTTGGATGTCTGACTTCAGCTCAGGTCATGATCTCACAGTTTGTGGGTTCGAGCCCCGCGTCGGGCTCTGTGCTGACAGCCCAGATTATGGAGCCTGCTTCTGATTCTGTGTCTTTCTCTCTCTCTGCCCCTCCCCTGCTCACATTCTGTCTCTCGAAAAAATAAATAAACATCAAAGAAACTTAAAAAAAAAAAAGCATCTTGTAGTGTTAACCGGGGAGGGGAAGGCAGCGGAACCCTAAATCGTTGACCCTGTGTGATTTCCAGTGTCTGGCCGTGCACAGTAGTGGTGCGGGGTCCACAGGAGAGCTATCACTTACCCCACCTGCCATCGTGGGATTCAGGTTCATTTTTATTTTCCATCTGCTCTGTGCTTCCCCAAAACGTACCTGCTTGTTTTACAATTTGGGAAAGAAAGAAAAAATATGTATCCCGATGGCAAAGAGCCGGCTGGATGGGGAAATGCTGGCTGAAATGGCAGACACTAGCAGAGAGGGAGGGGTGAACCCGGAAGGGGAGGCTTCGCTGCATTTGGGGGTCTGGGGTACCACCTTGTGCACTAACCCCAACAGCCCAGTTCCGTCCTCAGCACCTCAGTGGGGCTCCTGGTGGTGTCCTCTTGTCTCCAGACTTCGTGTCCTCCAGACCAGCCCATCTCTTCTTTTCTAATCAGAAACTTCCGTTTGGGCTTGCTTGCTTTCTTTCTCGTTTATTTATTTTAATGTTCGTTTATTTTTGGAAGAGACAGAGCACGAGCAGGGGAGGGGCAGAGAGAGAGGGAGACACAGAATCTGAAGCAGGCTCCAGGCTCCGAGCTGTCAGCACAGAGCCCGACGCAGGGGTCGAAATCAGGAACCGTGAGATCATGACCTGAGCCGAAGTCGGACGCCCAACCCACTGAGCCACCCAGGTGCCCCAGAAACCCGTTCTTAACTAACCGTATGGTCACCAGTATGGAATGGATTAATGTCACTTGAAGGACTAAAGTCAGGTTGCACACCCGCCTAGGGGAGTGGTCCAGGGCTTGGAAGTGCTGATTGAGATGCTTCGTTGCCATGGGAGATTTCAGAAAGATAGGCTCAAATTCAGTAACATGTGTCCTTTGATTCTGAATCCGTTTTTTAGTGGGATCATTTGTAACCCCATGCGATCCAGATGTCCCCTACACGTTCTCCGTAAGTAATTCAAATGTCGCGCACAGACGTATCATGTTTGTGCATTTTGTCTTCTCTCTGGGAGAACAGACCGAAAACTGATAGGATCCATCCCCGGGTGAGAGGAGAGAGGCTCATTTGGATTTTTTTCTTTGTGCTTTTTTTTAGCATCTAGATTTTCATAGTTAGCAGGTATTACATCTTTAAAAAAAAAAAAAAAAGAACGCCGTTTGTTTTGGAGGGAGAGAAGCAGTGAGAATATCCTCTCGCACCTTGGGGCTTTGATCCGTTTTGCCCAGATTTTCTGGGGGAAGGGGTGACGGTGGCTGGGCCTCCTCAGGGACTGAGCCGCGTCCTTCTGAGGGGTAGATGTCGGTGGGTTGAACCTTCTGGACTATCTCCCCAGTGCCCCCGAATCTGCCTCCCCAGCTCTAGAGAGTGGCCCCCAGCACTGCATTGACCACACCCACACGTGTATACGTGCAGGTCAGCGTGCACACGGCGGAGGGCATAGAGTATCGCCCATCCGTTTCTATGCTCCCAGGCTCTGGACAGTCAGCCACTTGCTGGGGGAACATTCGGGTGATAAAGCAACTTCCTCAAAATGAATGAGTTTCTTGGGCAGCTTGGTGGGAAGGCACTTGGGATCTAAAAGCCCCACTGCCTGGGTTCTAATCCCCGGGATGCCCCTTCCCAGCAGGGGTAGTAAGGTGGACATAACCTTCCTGAGCCTCAGTGTTTTCATCTGTAAAGTGGGAGTCCTGCTGGCAGTGTAGGCTCTGTGCACAGTGGCTGGTGCGGGTGCCCAGGCACGTGGAACATTCCACCCAAGGCAGTCTGCGGTTCCTGTGCAGAGGTAGGGATGAGGTTGATGAATTTGGCTGTTATTTTTGCCAGTATATTATTACTCTCAGAGCCGATGTGTTTTGCAGACAGAGTTCTAAAAGCTAATTACAGAGGTAATACATGGTGCATGGTCAACATTTCTTAAATCTGGAAGAGAAATTTGACCTCTTTCCACCCCAGGTTAATTCCTGCTAGTATTTTGTTACAAGCGTGTAAATCTTAAAGGACCCGTTTTCTTTGCCCGTATTTTAATGCATCTTTCATTGGCTTGGTTCTAAGTCTCATGAAGACATTTTGCTAGAGTTGTGGAGCTGGTCATAATATTGTTGTTGTAACTTTTGCCTAAGATTGTTGTCCTCATCTTGACATCTTAAAAAATGCGACCGAGCCCTCCCGCTTGGTAGAGGGGGGCCAATTATAAGGCAGACTCTGGATGTTTCCGTACCAGATAACAGACCGCCTGGGGCTTGATTACCAGTAATTGTTGCAGAAAATGCGTGTGCTCCCTGGAATGCTAATTATTTATATTCATTGCTTAAATCCAGCGGTTGACAGTAATTCTTTTTGAGTTGCTCTTCAGGCAGAGCAGTTGAAGCCAGAAACAGAGTAACTTCTGTCCTGACTCCCTTGCTAAACAGAGTGGTACCTTCTCAAGATTAACTTCCTTATGTTATGTTACGTTACGTTAAAAATGTTTATTTTTGAGAGAGAGAGAGGAGAGACAGAGTGCAAGCTGGGGAGGGAGGGAGACAGAACCCGAAGCAGGCTCCTGGCTCCGAGCTGTCAGCACAGAACCCAACGCGGGGCTCGAACCCACGAATCACGAGATCATGACCTGAGCCGAAGTCGGACGCTTGACCGACTCAGCCACCCAGGTGCCCCATCCGGTGTACTTTAAACAACTGTCCTTGAGAACTAGAAAGGTAAAGAAATTGAAGAAACAGGAAGAAGGCAATGCGAGCGATGGTGGATGTGGATAAGTGTGAACTTTTGACTGAAGCCTTTGTGTTCCTATTTTCTGCAGGACCAGGTGGAGCAGACACCCCCCGTCAGCCCACGAGACCTGGCAGGACCTGGCTTCCCAGCGCAGCCTGACCGGCTCACCAATCACCAGGGTAAGAAACGACAAAATCATGGTGACCCAGATGCCCTACCTTCCGACTGTGACTTTGCCACGTGCTGGGGCTCTGTATGCCAAGAAACCGTTCCTGCCCCTCATCTGAGAAGATTCTGGCCTTGGCTCTTCTCCCCTTTAAGGAAAACAAATTCAAAAACGGGGAGAAAATGCGTGGCTGTCAGATCTTCATATACAGGTGCCCCCTGCTTTTGGAAAGTCCGTTTTCCACTGCTTCGCTTTTGCGAAAGACCTACCTCCATACTTGTCTTTGCTAACCGAAAGCGATCCTCCAAAGAGGATTTCCGCTTGGACAAAAAAGGACTCGGTGTTCCTTTTGCAGGGAGCCCGTATTGCGCGGGACAGTGGCCCCGCCATGCCCCTGTCCCCGAGCTCTACCCCGTGCTAAAGCATCCGGCCATCAGAGCCTTGAGCTGTGAGCCTCTCTGTGTCTTCCCTCCATTTATGTCGTCCATCCGGAAGCAAGATGTGTCTTAAGCTATCGGAGAAGGCAGAGAGAGGTGATTTTTGGTGCTTGGAACGCTCACAGGGTTTGTCATATAAATTAACGGTAGCGAGGGGAAAGCTGTCTTTCTGTTCAGGGGGCAAAACTTCACAGTCAGTTCTACGGAGATTTATCTAAGGATGCAACTTAAGGGCAACTTGATGTTACCTATCCAGGGCTCCTCCATGGTGAAATCTTGTGGATTTTGGCATTCTTTTTTTTCATGATTATTTGCTTTTCAGAGAGAGTGTGTGTGCCCAAGTGGGGGAGGGGCAGAGAGCGAGGGAGACACAGAATCTGAGCTGTTAGCCCAGAGCCCGAAGTGGGATTGCAACCCACGAGCCGCGAAATCATGACCTGAGCCGAAGTTGAAGGGCTTAACCGACTGAGCCACCCAGGCGCCCTGATTTTGGCATTTTCATATTTGCACTTAGGCTGGTTTGGTGGGTCTGTGCTCTTGGTAATTCTCCACCTTTCTGTGATTTCTTCTGTTCCCCTTGTGTTAATTTCTGATGGGATCATCGTGGAAAAGAAAGGACAGGGGTTAAAAGCAAATTGGGTCTTAGGGATACATGCTTTGATATGGGGCGGGCAGCCCAAGAAGGGACCCAGTCTGGTTTGGGGGGAGGGACCAGGAAAAAGGCACATGACTCATGGTGTGGATTCCTACAGAAGTTAAGTCCAATAAATTGTAGGGTTTAGAGCTGGGAGGAATTAGAATAATCAGGTTTTTTAAATTGCTTAAGCAGAAAGAGGATGGAATGTTGCAAAAATAAAAGCTGGGAGCTTCATAGGAAGTCAAAGAGATGTTTCCTCAAGTGTTAGAAGATTCATAAAACAGTCAGGCTTTTCTGTGTCAGGCACACTTTCCTGGTCGTCTTTTAGAAAACTTGTAAAGAGAAAGAGGAATATCGTTAATGTCGGCTTTGAAACTTTGGAAAATTTTAATTTATTACATTGCACTGCTTAGCAGTGGTCTCATTTAAGGTGAAATAATCTAAGTTTTGGTATTAATGTTCATACACAAGTCTATGTCCACGCTTTAGTCAAGAAAATTGACTCGATAGAAGGAAATTTACACAGAAGGAGCTTATTTATTTAGTTTTAAATTATTTATGTTGAGAGAGAGTGCATACGTGCACAGGGGAGGGGCAGAGAGAGAGAGAATCCCAAGCAGGCTCCACACTGTTATTTGCAGAGCCAACACGGGACTCGGTCTCACAAACCATGAGATCGTGACCTGGGCCAAAGTCAGATACTTAACTGACTGAGCCACCCAGGTGCCCCAGAACTTTTTTTTCCTTTTTAACGTTTCTCTGTTTATTTTGAGAGAGAGAGCAAGAGTGGGGGAGGGACAGAGAGAGAGGGAGACAGAGAGTCCCAGGGAGGCTCCGTGCTGTCAGCACTGAGCACGACGTGGGGCTCGATCCCACAAAAACGTGAGACCGTGACCTGAGCCGAAGTCGAAACCGTGAGCGTCTGCTCAACCGACTAAGCCACCCAGGCGCCCCTTGAAAGAACTTTTTGAAGCTTAAAGCTCCTTTAAGGTTTGACGACATCCAAGGTGTACTTTCAAGCATCCTGTAGATGTCACGCCTGCTTGGGTGGTGGCAGGGAGGGCTGTGCACCAAAGGCAGGGTGGGCTCCACGTGGAACAGAGCAGATCCCCTCTCTTGCTCCGGAGCTCCGCAGCCCATAGTTGAAGCTGAGGGTCTGATGCGTCCCCGCACCTGAAGCAGGGTCTCAGGGAATGAATGAACGCGTCTCCACCTGTGACATTGAACACCTTTCCCTCCACTCCTCAGTAATTCTGCACACAGAGCTTGTAAAACAGGACAGTCAGAAGGACTCAGCCTGGCTGCACCGCAAGACGGGTGATTCTCCATCTCCTACTGAGAAGTGAGCCACCCGAGTCAGCAGGTCGCGTTTCCATATGCAGTGAAGTCTGTCAAAGGCTTCGAGGGAAGCGTGTGTGTCACACTCAGGGCGGTGAATGACAGAAGAGTGTCATGAAGGACCGGACACCATGACGCGCACGATGGGAAGAAATGACAGAAACAGGTGGGCGTGAGGAGCCCACGTGTTGGAAGTGAGCTGTTATGCCAACAGTTATTGGCATTTTAATATTTTACTGTTTACTTATTTTGGAGACAGAGAGAGGGTGAGAGCTGGGGAGGGGCAGAAAGAGGGAGACACAGAATCCGAAGCAGGATCCAGGCCCCGAACTGTCAACGCAGAGCCTGACAGGGGGCTCGAACTCACTAACCATGAGATTGTGACCTGAGCTGAAGTCGGACGCTTAACCGATTGAGCCACCAGGCGCCCCAGATGGTGCTCAGAGAACTCAAAGGAAAGGGGAAGGTTATTCCACATCTAAAAGCATCTAGCAAGAATCTAGAAAACAGAGGACAAAGAGAAGATCTGCGGAGAAAATGCAGACTTCCCAGTGCGTGAACGATGGTTGGACTGACAACCAACCTGGGCACAGCCGGAAAATAACACAGGGTATTTTCAGAGGGTCGAGGGAGAAATGGCTGTCTGCCTGAAAGTGGATAGCGACATCTACTGAGAGCAGAATAAAGCTTTTTCCAGCAAACATTGAGCACATTTGTGACTGGCAATCTTCCCTGAAAGATTTATTGAACGCTGTACTTCAGTAAGAAAAGGCCGGCAGTGTAGGGAACAGTAGTAAGGTTAAACTGAACGTTGGATGATCATTAGACCCTGGGAGCGCACACGCGCGTGCGTGTGTGTGTGTGTCTGTCTTGTGAGGTTTGTTCCGTGAGTGATTCTGTCATCATAAGACCCCAGTTGGGGGAAGTAGAATGTAAAACGATTTGAGGCTATGTTAAGAAAAAGTATAGTAAGTTACGTACATATTTTAAAATCTTAGCTGCATCTAAAACACGGATTGTAACTAATGAAAGAATATGCGTAAAATCTGTACTCCTAACCTAGCAGAAGAAGATATAAGGGAATCTGTATTTAATGAAAACAACCGACATCACCAGGAAAGGAGAAAAAACAGGATGTGAAGAATAAAAAGGATGTCAGACAGAAAATACTAAATAAGATTGTAGGAGTAATTCCAAGGATATCTGTTAACAGTATTAACAAGCCCGGATTGGTAGAAATACATAGAACCCTGCATCCAACAGATAGACTCTTGATTCTTTTCTTTTTAAAACATTTTTTTTTAATGTTTATTTATTTTTGAGAGAGAGCACGTGAGCAGGAGAGGGCTAGAAAGAGGGAGACAGAGGATCTGAAGCAGGCTTCACACAGTGAGTGCAGAGCCCGTTGCGGGGCTCGAATTCATGAACTGTGAGATCATGACATGAGTCGAAATCAAGAGTGGGCAGCTTAGGGGCGCCTGGGTGGCTCAGTTGGTTAAGCGTCTGACTTCAGCTTAGATCATGACCTCATGGTTTGTGAATTCAAGCCCCACGTCAGGCTCTGTGCTATCAGTTCAGAGCCAGGAGCCTGTTTCGGATTCTGTGTCTCCCTCTCTCTCTCCCTTCCCCACTCATTCTTGGTCTCTCTCTGTCCTTAAAAAACGAATAAACATTAAAAGAAAAAAATTCTAAGAGTTGGCAGCTTAACCAACTGAGCCATCCGAGTGCCCCCTCTTGATTATCTTCTAAAATCTGTGTAACTTTTTAAAAAATTGACCACATAGGGGCACATGGGTGGCTCATTCGGTTAAACATCCCACTCTTATTCTCAGCTCAGGTCTTGACTTCAGGATTCTGAGTTCAAGCCCCATGCTGGGCTCCACACTGGGCATGAAGCCTACTTAAAAAAAATTTTTTTAAGTTAACCACATATGGAAAACTGCACTAAAGTTTTTAAAGTTTTTAAAAAATACTTATTTTTGAGAGAGAGAGAGAGAGAGAGAGAGAGAGCGTGCCCATGAGGGGGAGGGGCAGAGAGAAAAGGAGACACAGAATCCAAAGCAGGCTCTAGGCTCTGAGCTGTGGGCACAGAGCCTAATGTGGGGCTCGAACTCACGAACCATGAGATCGTGGCCTGAGCCAAAGTTGGATGCTTTTAGGCGCCCCTAAAACACTAAATTTTAAGCGATCCGTGTCATGCAAGCCACGTTCTTTGACCCAGTGTGATTAAATCAGAAGTCAACAGAAAAAGTTCCAAACAAAATGTGTAATATGCGTGGAAACTTTAAAACCCACTGTTACCCCAGTCCTGGGTTACAGAGAAACTCACAATGAAAATACCAGTTAGTCATTTAGAACTGAATGTAAAATGAGTGTACTTGCAGGTAGGAAGTTGTATGTTGCTGCTAAATTGTATTTGAGATTCCATTTCTAATCTTGGAAGAGAAACAAATTAGGAGCATCAAAGATGGATGGATAACGCTAAGGAATGTAGAGGGAGTAGTTACAAAAATTAAGATCAGAAATTACGAGAATGGTGAAGAAAGTATCAACGGGTAGGGACCAAGCGAAATGTCAGCCTTTTGCAAAATCTGGCGAAAC